GCTGATTGTAATTAGGAGGGTTGCATACTCACTTGCAGAGCTCATTCAAATAATTCAAATGGAAATAGTTTTTGAGCTTTTTTTATGAGAACGTTGATTCTGCATTCAGTTATTTTGCTATTGTTTGTACATTTTTTGCAGTCTTAACTAATGCAGACTTTGCTGTTTTAGCCATTTATTAATCAAAACATTTAGCTCTTTCAGGACATTGTGGCCATGACTAAGCTTTTATGCTTTTAAAGTATCTGATTATATTTACACACATTTTCTACATTGGAATACGCTGAAAGAACATTCCCCAATTTATTACAAATAAATAAATAAATAAATAAATCTGCTTCAGCATACATGCACTACTTTTATTCATTAACCTTTGTTTAACCAGGCAAACCCCATTGAGATCACAGATCTCCTCTGAAAGGGAGACCTGGGCCTGAAGGCAACCTAACATACATGTTTTTGGTCTGTGGGAGGAAACCCTCGCAAGCATGAGGAGAACATGCAAGCTTCACAGAGAAAGACCCTGTGTCTGAACTGGGAATCAAACCCAGGACCTTCTTGCTGTGAGGCATCAGTGCTAACCACTAAACCACCATGCTACCATGTCTCGTTTTGGTATGTTTATACTAGCCTTTTACTGTTTTAGCAACATTGTTTCTAATTTTAGACTTCTACTGCCAATTTACTACGTTTAGCTTTTAGATAACCTAATGCTAGTTTTAGCTTTTAGGTAGTGTTTTGGTACTTTTTGCTTTTAGCTATGCATTTGCTACTTTTAGCATCTAGCTGGCCTTGTAAAACTTTTAGCCAGTCTTTTGCTATTTTTACATTTTTGCTTTTTGCTACTTTAGATTATTCAGCTAGGCTTTTGAAACATTATACTAACTTTCTACTGGGTTTTCACAAGACATTTGGGGCTTTTATATTTTTACATAGCTTTTTGCCACTTTTAGGTTTTAGCTTACATTTTGACACTTTTGGCTTTTAGGTAGAGTTTGCTTTTATATGTTTAGGCTAGATTTTTTTTAATTTTTATTTTATGTTTTTGCTTTTATTGTTGATTTTTCCATTTCAATTTTAAAAAATCAATTCCAGCATATTCCAGCAAAATCATTAAACACTAATGTGGCACTGTAAGACCGAATTTTGTAATAACAGCACATTATGTAATAATGTAATAAAATCAGGCTTCAAAATGTAATAATATCACCCTAAAACCACATTATGTAATAACTGGCATAAAATGTAATAAAAGACTTCAATGCATTGTGTAATAACGTTATTACATTTTGCGGCAATTGTTACAAAATGTGGTGGTGTAATATTTAGAAAGTAAGTTGTCCAAATAAAATAGTTAACAATGCAATTTATTTAAAACAGAACACCAGAGGTTTACCTCATACCTGCCAACATCTGCTGACAGCAACGAGGAACACCTGTTCATATTAACGAGCAGAACAAGTAACTAGAGTGATGAGTGATTATTCTACAGACTAAGTCAACTATGCCTGATATAAAGTTTATATATATA